ACTTGGAGTGCAATAACTCTATCAAGGTTGGGGGAATGTCTGACCGTAGAAACCACTTGGTGGATAACTTCTTTTAAAGTAAAACCAGACTGTGAATGATAGCCAAGGTGGCAAGCGCAGGTGAAATATCAAGGAATGTAGAGGAATTGCCCACGCCCATTGGGAAGTATTTCGAGCGACCGTCCATATAAACAGGAGATTGAAGCAGCCATGAAACAGCTTACTTGATCTCACGTGACTTCCTGCCCGAAAGAAAGCCCCAACAAAGCCTTGTGCCAGAAGACTTGTTCAGTCTTAGCCAAACAAACCGTTTGACTTACGAAGCGGGAAAGGTCGATATTTTTCTGCATGAACTAATAATTTTTAATATCAAGAATTAACCAACTCCTGTACAAAGTTCGTTTAAATAAAGACATTTTCTTTTACTCAAATCATTTTTTTTTTTTACTTGGGACTTCACTCTGTCTGGATCAAAGCATTACGACAATTCCCGTCGACGATTCGATCTTTGCCAGCTTTATGATCAAAATCAAACACAACGTGGGATAAGGGAAGGGTTTAATGGAAGTGGTCAACTAATCGATCAGCCGCGAGAATTGGACATCGAACGGAGCGCCCGAGAAGAATGCTACTAGCTGGCCTTCTTTGTCAAGACGATAATTGTCAGAACGATTTCTGCAACATCCTGCATATGTCTCCTTAACAAGATATCAGCTAATGACTAACGTCGCAACACTTCGTCGATTTTAGTTTTCGTCACGTTGCAAAGTTCGCCATTTTTATTCTCCACCATACTCTGGAGAGGTTCTCATGTTTTTTTAGTGCGTGTTTTTTTTTTTTTTTTTGTATCATTTCATTTTAAGCGAAATGAATATAAAACCGTGCTTTCTTTTTTTCCTTTCTTTAGTGATCAGTGATCTTTTTTGACCTGGAAATTTATTAAAAAGATCAAAGGATTAATTTGAAATTCCGGTGAGGCTTGTACGCCAGGTCCAATAATCACAGTTATACAATGAAAAGAATAAATGTATTCCATTGTGTGTATGCGCAGTCGTTGTATATTGATCGATTCTTATAAAAAAAAAAGTGGGTGTATGGATGATGCAATGAAGAGCGGTTCAAAATCAGAAATAAGAGAAATGAGTTCGAATTCCAATCGGGTTCGTTAATGAACGATACTAAGTGATATAATTTAATGTCTAATAAACGTGAGTGAGTATCTGCTGTTGTTGGTATCAAAGTTACAAAGATGTCTGTCTCCGTTGGTAGTTGCATAATTAAAAGAAACTAGAAACGCTTAAGAATTCAACTCAAGGAAAACAGTCTGATCTACAAGATTAATTGCATGAACTGTTCAACAAGCTATGTGGGCATGACTTCAAGATCATTGATAGAACGACTAGATGAACATCGAAGATTTTGTGATAAGGTAATTTCAAATGGAAACGAAATACAAAAATTGGAATTCACATGCCATTACAGAAGGTCACAAAATTGACTTCGATTATCTGGAAATAAAATTGAACCAAAAGCATTTCAATCAAAGAAGAGTAACTGAACAAATGGTAATAACAAATACAAAAAATGCCAGCAATATGATAGATGCATCACAATTCCATCCTGTCTGGACCTCTCTGCTACAAAGAAAAATATATGACAAAAAAATGACAATTTGTAGAGAAAAAGCAAAATTCTTTTTTTTTTTTTTTACGCCTCAACTTGCTCTTATGATGTAAATGTCATCAACTCGGGTTTGTTTTCATTGATTTGAATTCTTAAGAGCTTCTAGTTTCTTTGCATTGTTTTATTCAAATTGTGACCAAGACTGACAACTACTAGACGAAATATTTCCATTAAAAAAATCATTCGTTGAAACTAAAAGTTTTTTCTTTCAATTATGTTGTTGTTGATATGTTTATATTATAGTTAATATTTATATTATTTCAGTTTGAGATTAATTCATGTATGATATATTTTAATGAACGTTCGCATTCTGGCCATGAGATCCGGGTTCGAATCTTACCATGGTCGATTTATCGGGAAGGAGACTTCCTGGTGTTATCGAACTGGAAGGATCGATCCCAGCGTGTAGCACCTTTGGAAAGTGCCTGAAAACCATACCATGGGTTGACCCAAGCCTTGTGAGTGAAATTGGGTAGACAGAACCTTTGGGTGGCGTCGATAACTGTGCTAGCACGAAGGCTTGAGCGTGTTGGCCTTGTTCAAATTATTTATCATGCTAGATAACACTCTCTTTCCCAGAAACTGTAACTCAGCATAGTTACAATATAAACCACAGGTGGGCTCTGTGGGTGTTGAATAAACAAAAATGCGCCTGAGCAAGCGCCCGCAATAGGGATTGGGTAGCCGCCCTAGTAGACAGGTATCCTCGAATACGTGTATGTATATATATATATATTTTGAATAATAAGTCTTGAATTTAACAGGTTTTTCTTTTTTAATTTTAAATTTTTAATATTTATAGTAATGTATATTGGTTTAGGAAATAAATATTTCTTTTAGGAAAGGAAATATTTGTAAAAATCCGCGGCGCAAATTTATATTTTGGTAAGATACGTTACTGGAACCACTCTCAAGAATTTTCCGTCTAAGTAAGTTACTTTCTCTCTTAATAAAGGTGGCATTCTTTAGATCGAAGTTGGGGTTGCAGTTGTTTCTCTCTATAACTAATGCATTTGATAAATTGTTGTATACAAGCTCCTTTTGTGTTCATAGATACGTTTTTTTAAACTCCTGCAAGTTTCCCCAATATATTGTACGAAACAGTTTGTGAGAGTTTATTTTATATATAGCCGCATATTGTTATGGATATTTTTGGTTTCTGATCATATCCATAATAGTTTTGGACGTGTTTGTAATTATTTTGGTATTGTTACGAGTGTATAAATTGTTTTGGACTGTAAATGTTAAGGATTTAGTAGGTAGTATTATATGTATTTGGACTGTAGATGTTAAGGATTTAGTAGGTAGTGTTTTGTGTCTGTTTTTATATTGTTTATTGTCATTATCTTTTTGTAGTTGTATATTTTATATGCTTTTCTTTTAGCATTGTGGGTGAAATAATGAGGGTCTTGAAAGTTTTTAAAAGCGTTTTCTATGTATATTTATTCTTCAATTAAATATTGGGATTGCAGATTCTTAGAGCTCTTAAATTAAATACAAAATTTTTCCAGGTTTGTTTCTGTTGCAGTGTTGAGTATAGCATTTTCCATAATTTACCTTGACTTTCAATTACCCTGAAGTATATTAATGAGCGTTTTTAAAACTAAGGACATTTTTCTGTGTACAAAAATAAAATCTTCACATTTGTCTTGATAACGTCCATTAGGTGACGAAGCGCCTCAGCTATTTTTTCTTTATTCATATATATATATATATATATATATATATATAGAGAGAGAGAGAGAGGGGGGATTGGTGCATACGGAATAAATTCCAATAACCAAAAAATACTATTCTTAAAAGAGTGCTCAATACAGAGCAGACCAAATATAATTCAACACCATCACTTGATAAGACATCAGAAGTGTTTAAACAAAATGGCTTTTTGTAATGATTTTATAACATATTTATGCTATAATTTTCTAATATATATATATATATATATATATATATATATATATATATATATATATATATAAATGGCGGTCTCTTTCTGTTTGTCTGAATCAAGTTGCCACCTAAATCCGTGAACCAATCTTGATGAAACTTTGCATATACGTTAAACAATCATCCGGTTTGTCACTAGGCTAATTGTTTTTTTTTTAATAAAAATCTATAATAGGACCGCTAGGGTCCTTAGATCGCAACTCACCGCCGGCTCTACGCGAAACGCTGTTTACATGTGTTTAAGCGAGAGCGATTATTGAACTCACAATTTTTTTAGAATTTAAGATACACGAGTTACGAATTGATAACTCTTAGTCTTATAAAACTTAAAATTCCAGTCAGATATGAACCTTTGTTCGATTAAAAAAAATATTAGGAAACAACATCTGAACGAATCACAGATCGTTTTCTAATTAAAATCTCTATTTACACATTTATTCAGCATAATCTTTCTTTGAATACGATCTCCATAGTGTTTTGATATTGCAAAAAATTCATTCGTTTCAAATTTCGCCATGGACATCATTAAATTCGCCAGGTCCGAATTTATCAAAGATAAAGAAATTGGCTCGATCTATTTAATCATTTATACGTAAAATAACATTTAAATTGAGCTTATTTGCGAACAGATACTTTACCTCATCTCATATTTCAACCTACCCTTAAAAAGTCATATCGTGGTTGTGGAATAACAACTTTTTTGGAGGACATTTTCGTGCTATATATCGTCTGTTTAAAAAAAATCTAGCTGTGGAAATAGACATCCTTCTTAAAAAACGTTAAATTAAATGTCTTTAATCAATATGAGCCACGTACCCTTCCCCGTTAAGTTTTACTTTTAATTACAGTTGTTTAGTTAGACGATATCAATTCGAATCGTGACGAAAAGCGAAACTGAAATCAAAAATTTAATAAAGAATTGTTTTGTAAAGATTTCACACCATTCAATATTGAAATCTCTGTATATAATCAGTTGGACAGATATATTTCCTCAAACGAGACAATGTGGCGCATCCTGGGCTTCGAAATCCCCGAACGGTATGCAAAAGTGTTGATTCTAGCTGTTTATCTTGAAAATGGTCAGCGTGTATATTTTACAGAAGATACTGCTCGAAACGTAGTTGAGAAACCAGAAACCCCTTTGACAGCTTTCTTTAAATAATGCTAAAGTGACCTGTTTTTCAGAACACTGCTGTATGTTGAGGTTTCTGTTTACTTCACCTGGGCACACAGTAAGTGGAGCAGGTGTAAGCAAGGAGCACAAGTTGAGGGTTGCGAAAAAAAATGCTGTCTTCAGAAGCGGGAACATCGGGCGGGTTTACCCTGTGCCATCCAATCAGGCCTTTTCATTTTTACTCCTTTTTGTTAAGAAGTTTCCTTTTTATCTTTTCTTTTTATCTTTGTTTTTTTACATCTCTTTCTTTTCTTTTTTTTTACGTTGTAATTCTACCCTTTTTCTTTCATTTTTTTTCTTTACTTTTCTCTTCTCTTTTCGCTTTTTGACTTTTTTACTTTTTCGTATCCACTCAATTTTTTTCTTTTCTTTTTTTTCTTTGTTTCTTCTTTTCTATTTGTCATTATTCTTTTCTTTCGATTCTCTATTCATTTTTCATTTTCTTTTCTTTTACACTTTTTTTCTTTCATATCATTTTTTTATTTTTTTATTTTTTATTCTTTTTTCAATTTCTTTCATCTTTTACCTTTTTGCTTTTCTTTCCTATTTTTCTCTTTTTCTTTTCTTTTTACATATTTATTTCTTTTTTATTTCTCTTCCTTTTTCATTTCTTTTCTTCTTCTTCTTCACCTTTTATCCGTTTTTCAATTTTTTTTCTTTACATTTCTCTATTTACTTTTTCGTTTTTTCTTTTCTTTTTTTCCGTTTTATTTTATCTTGGTTTTTCTTCACATTTTCTATTTTACTCTTACTTTTTCGTTTTTTTTTTCTTTTCTTTTTCTTTTCGTTTTCTTTTCTTCCATTTTTTTCGTATTTTTTTCTTTTTCGTTTCATTCCGTTTCTTCTTTTTTGCTTCTTTTTCTTCTTTTTCTGTTTTCCTTTCTTTTACTTTTTTCTTCTTCTTTGTTTATTCATTTTCTTTTATTCTTCTTTTATTTTTTTTTCTTTCCGTTTACTTCTTTGTTCTTTTTCATTTCCTACAATTTTTCTCCATTTCTTTCCCTTTTATTTCTTTTTTTGTTTTCTTTTCTTTTCCATCTAAATATTGGTGTTTTCAATATTGCAGTATTTAAACGTCATGATTTCATTTCCTGAAAGAAACTTTTTGCGCCAATCACCCAATCACTATAGAATTCTCTTTGTTCCTTAGCATGAATGTTACTTATTACCGTCATTGCTTGCCTGTCCCCTGCCCAAAACTTATGGTATAACTTCATTCTAGGATTCGTTTAAGATAGGGAAATCGATAAAGTCCTCTTGTATTTAACGTGTGCTTCAGTTGGATGGTTTTGTTATATGAAATATGCCAGCAACAAATTATCAGTTTTGGTAAGTAAATTAAGAAAACCGCGCAAATAGATGTCATAAAAAACCTATTTGAAAAATTATTGTAACGAGATATGTAGTATATGATGGCATGGTTATTTGTGTACCTCGGCGTGGTATAATGGTTAGCAAGCGATCCTCACTGGGTCCACCATACTTAGAAAATCAATATGATAGTTATTTAACGAATCCTTACAATTTAACCTGCTATAAATTGTACTCCTCTATCCGTTTACTTAAAATTTTCAAGTGGGTTCATTCTATCTCTCAGTGTTTCTATCTCTCTTTACATCATAGTCGATAATGTTTCTCCACAGCTACCTATCTTTTATTATTTTATGTCCCTGTCTTTGTGATAATTGTTCGTCCATGCATTTAATCAATCTTGTCAACTAGGTTCTCACTTTCTATTTGATATTTCCCATCACAATGTTGACGATTATGCTTCTCCACAGCTTCCTTTCTTTCGTTGTTTCTCAGCAATACTTTATCACTTCTCTGTATTTGTTCCATTATCAATTTGGTCAACTTGTAATTGATGTTTCCTATTGCACTGTTCGTGAAGTTTGGGGGTCATTACGCTATTCTCACTGCCCTAAATGCAGCCCCACTCTGTAAAAGCCCGTCTTGCTGTCACTGGACAACCGCTAAATTGCCTGCAACAACGCCCCAAAATTATAAGTCAGTCAACAATAGACCCGGAACATACTTAAACACGTAATAACTCTCGCAAACTTCATGCCACGTCCCGAAGTCGCCTGTATCCATTTCTTTGTTTAGCGGCATATCAACATCCTTATGGGTCATCTAATGCCGAAATTTAATTTTCTTGGGAGCTTTGGTTTGATTTGTTTATTTAACGGCATATCAACTCCTCATGGGTCATTTAATGCTGAAATTTAATTTTCTTGGCCGCAGTAGTAATTTTTTATACAAAAATGTATTGTTGGTATTTTTACGATAAAATTTTTATACATCTCTAAATACACATTTTATTACTTCAATGTTATTTTTAGTGGATATCCATATTTGACTAGACGCCCTGTTTTTTAGGGGTTTTTCTTTTTTTTCGTTGTTGCTTTTTTAACATATTTATGATCGTCTACCGACCTAGATATTCCAGAAATGTTATTAATGAAAATTTGATAAAAATCTGTCGCTTTGGTTTGGTTTATTTTGTCTTACGGCATATCAACACATGAATGGGTTATTTAATGCCGACAAGATTTTTAAGATAGGTTCGTATGAATAGAATATGTATTAACATTTTTATTTTTCAAAAATACTGGTAATATTTTTTAACTATTTAGTAACTGGGACACTAACACGTACCACTAGCCTGGATATGGATGGCCCTGGGAAGAAGAACAATTAACAGGTGGTTCCACGCTCCTCAAAACATCCAAACCCCGATCAAAATCCTTCCTACACTTTGTAGTTTATCGTCATAGCCAGGATGTTAGTTCATCAGTAACCTAATTCTTATTAATCTTTAGTTAGAATTTCCATTGCATGATATCCATCCTGTATCAGGTTATTTCCCTCTAATGGCGTGGTGAAGGGTTCCCATCCTGTATCAGGTTATTTGCCTCTAATCGCGTGGTGAAGGGTTCTCATCATGTATCAGGTTATTTCCCTCTAATGGCGTGGTGAAGGGTTCCCATTCTGTATCAGGTTATTTCCCTCTAATGGCGTGGTGAAGGGTTCCAATCCTGTATCAGATTATTTCCCTCTAATTGGCGTGGTGAAGGGTTCCCATCCTGTATCGGGTTATTTCCGTCTGATGGCGTGGTGAAGGGTTCCCATCCTGTATCAGGTTATTTCCCTCTAATGGCGTGGTGAAGGGTTCCCATCATGTATCGGGTTATTTCCCTCTAATCGCGTGGTGAAGGGTTCCCATCCTGTATCAGGTTATTTCCCTCTAATGGCGTGGTGAAGGGTTCCCATCCTGTATCACGTTATTTCCCTCTAATGGCGTGGTGAAGGGTCCCCATCCTGTATCAGGTTATTTCCCTCTAATTGCGTGGTGAAGGGTTCCCTTCCTGTATCGGATTATTTCCCTCTAATGGCGTGGTGAAGGGTTCCCATTGTGTATCAGGTTATTTCCCCCTAATCGCGTGGTGAAGGGTTCCCATCCTGTATCGGGTTATTTCCCTCTAATGGCGTGGTGAAGTGTTCCCATCATGTATCGGGTTAGGTTTCCCATCCTGGTCAGGTTTCCCCTAATGGCGTGGTGAAGGGTTCCCATCCGGTATCGGGTTATTTCCCTCTAATTGCGTGGTGAAGGGTTCCCATCCTGTATCGGGTTATTTCCCTCTAATGGCGTGGTGAAGGGTTCCCATCCTGTATCAGGTTATTTGCCTCTAATCGCGTGGTGAAGGGTTCCCATCCTGTATCAGGTTATTTCCCTCTAATGGCGTGGTGAAGGGTTCCCATCATGTATCGGGTTATTTCCCTCTACTCGCGTGGTGAAGGGTTCCCATCCTGTATCAGGTTATTTCCCTCTAATGGCGTGGTGAAGGGTTCCCATCCTGTATCTATTATCCTCTAATATTATCCTCTAATGGCGTGGTGAAGGGTTCCCATCCTGTATCTGGTTATTTCCCTCTAATGGCGTGGTGAAGGGTTCCCATCCTGTATCGGGTTATTTCCCTCTAATGGCGTGGTGAAGGGTTCTCATCCTGTATCAGGTTATTACACTCTAATGGCATGGTGAAGGGTTCCCATTCTGTATCATGTTATTTCCCTCTAATGGCGTGGTGAAGGGTTCCCATCCTGTATCGGGTTATTTCCCTCTAATGGCGTTGTGAAGGGTTCCCATACTGTATCAGGTTATTTGCCTCTAATCGCGTGGTGAAGAGTTTCATCCCCATCCTGTATCTAATGGGTTATTTCCTCTAATGGCGTGGTGAAGGGTTCCCATCCTGTATCAGGTTATTTCCCATCATGTCCTGTATCGGGTTATTTCCCCCTAATGGCGTGGTGAAGGGTTCCCATCCGGTATCAGGTTATTTCCCTCTAATTGCGTGGTGAAGGGTTCCCATCCTGTATCATGTTATTTCCCTCTAATGGCGTGGTTAGGGTTTCCTGTATCTGGTTATTTCCCTCTAATGGCGTGGTGAAGGGTTCCCATCCTGTATCAGGTTATTTCTAATGGCGTGGTGAAGGTTCCCATCCTGTATCAGGTTATTTAACTCCTCTAATGGCGTGGTGAAGGGTTCCCATCCTGTATCAGGTTATTTCCCTCTAATGGCGTGGTGAAGGGTTCCCATCCTGTATCTGGTTATTATCCTCTAATGGCGTGGTGAAGGGTTCCCATCCTGTATCAGCGTTAGGGTTTTCCTCTAATGGCGTGGTGAAGGGTTCCCATCCTGTATCTGGTTATTATCCTCTAATGGCGTGGTGAAGGGTTCCCATCCTGTATCAGGTTATTTCCCTCTAATGGCGTGGTGAAGGGTTCTCATGAAGGGTTCCCCATCCTGTATCAGGTTATTTCCTCTAATGGCGTGGTGAAGGGTTATTGTATCTAATGGGTTATTTCATCCTCTAATGGCGTGGTGAAGGGTTCCCATTCTGTATCTGGTTATTTCCTCTAATGGCGTGAAGGGTGAAGGGTTCCCATCCTGTATCTGGTTATTATCCTCTAATGGCGTGGTGAAGGTTCCCATCCTGTAAGGGTTCCCCTGTATCTGGTTATTTCCCTCTAATGGCGTGGTGAAGGGTTTCCCATCCTGTATCAGGTTATTTCCTCTAATGGCGTGGTGAAGGGTTCCCATCCTGTATCTGGTTATTTCCCTCTAATGGCGTGGTGAAGGTTTCCCATCCTGTATCAGGTTATTTCCCTCTAATGGCGTGGTGAAGGTTCCCATCCTGTATCAGGTTATTTCCCTCTAATGGCGTGGTGAAGGGTTCCCATCCTGTATCATGGGTTATTTCCCTCTAATGGCGTGGGTTCCCCATCCTGTAAGGTTATTTCCCGTGGTGAAGGTTTCCCATCCTGTATCAGGTTATTTCCCTCTAATGGCGTGGTGAAGGTTTCCCATCCTGTATCAGGTTATTTCCCTCTAATGGCGTGGTGAAGGGTTTCCCATCCTGTATCTGGTTATTTCCTCTAATGGCGTGGTGAAGGGTTCCCACCCTGTATCAGGTTATTTCTAATGGCGTGGTGAAGGTTCCCATCCTGTATCAGGTTATCCTCTAATGGCGTGGTGAAGGGTTCCCATCCTGTATCTGGTTATTATCCTCTAATGGCGTGGTGAAGGGTTCCCATCCTGTATCTGGTTATTTCCCTCTAATGGCGTGGTGAAGGGTTCCCATCCTGTATCAGGTTATTTCCCTCTAATGGCGTGGTGAAGGGTTCCCATCCTGTATCTGGTTATTATCCTCTAATGGCGTGGTGAAGGGTTCCCATCCTGTATCTGGTTATTTCCCTCTAATGGCGTGGTGAAGGGTTCCCATCCTGTATCAGGTTGTATCGTGGTGAAGGGTTCCCATCCTGTATCTGGGTTAGGGTTCCCCATCCTGTAATGGCGTGGTGAAGGTTTCCCATCCTGTATCAGGTTATTTCCCTCCTGTAATAATGGCGTGGTGAAGGGTTCCCCATCCTGTATCTGGTTATTTCCTCTAATCGTGGTGAATCTGGTTATTTCCCTCTAATGGCGTGGTGAAGGGTTCCCATCCTGTATCTGGTTATTTCCCTCTAATGGCGTGGTGAAG